TTTTTTTTTTTTTTTGAGATACGGTAGAGAAAATGACACAAACTATAAGGATTTAGTAAAAAAAAAACGTTTGAAATGCATTTAAAAGGTTTTAGGAATTACACAAAGGAAATTTGAAAATTGTGAGATGACAAAAAGTATTCTTAATTTTAACATGAAAATTACTTTGCACACGGACTATTCAAAACAAATACTCAATATATTCATGGAGAAAACTTTATTTTATTAGAAATACTTCACTAGGAAATGTGACTTTTTGTATGTGAAAGACTTGTAATATTAACTGAAAGACTGCCAAATTTTGTGAAGATATACCCAATATATAGAGAGTTATAAGTATTAAATTTATATCAACTTTAAATGAGTACAAAAGGTCACATGACTCGGTCAAATTGACCAACCCCGTGTTTGGAGGGTTAACAGAGACGGCTAAAGAGGTAGAAGTGGGCACTCCTGAAGGTACCACAGAAGCAAAAACCAGGGCTGAACAGGCCAATCTGTTGCTATCAACAGAATACAACAATGGGTGGAACAAATCATTGCTAGATCTCTGGGTTATAGACAAATCAGTAGATAGGTATATAGGTACAATCCAGTCCAGTCCTAATGGAATGCATCTATTTTCAATGCCCAATGGTGAGGTACCAGAGACCAAAATGCCAGTAGTTGAGTGTTTCAACAAGTGACAAATCAATCAATCATCACTGTCCGGAACTGAGACCAAATCCAATGGAAAACCTCTCGAGGAAGCATCCATTCTGTCAGAAGAATCTGGTTAGGTCAAATCCGCCACCAAATTCATTACTCCCAGAACATGGCAAACTAATAGGATGATACGATGGTAGTGGGACCAATAAAGAAGATCCAAGGTTTGAAAACAAAGAAACTTGGACCGAGTACCCCCTTGATGGGAAATGTAAGACAACACAGCAGAATTGTCATAGTGATGCAATATGACTTTGCTCTTCAACAATTCCAGACCTTGAGGCATTGCTTTTTGCACAGTAAGAAGTTCTAAAACATTGAAGCCTCATTGACCATCCATAGACCCTGGAATTTCTGACTGTTGAGATATGCACCCCATCCTTGAAGTGAGGCATCTGTGAAAAGACAGATCTCTGGATAAGGTGGTGGCAGAGGAACACCTATCATAGCATTGTTCCAATTTAACCACCACTAGAGATCAAAGATGTTGATCCTGAATAAGGAGACCTGGGAATCCAGATGATTGCTGTTCATGATCTATTGGTTGCATGGAGACCACTGAATGGATCTCATGTGCACTCATTCCAAAGGGGGTGATATATCAGAGGTCAGGCAACTTGAATAAGGGCAGAACCATGATTCCCCAAGGAAAATCTAGAAGCCAAGGATGACAGGGATGAATGTTGATGGTCAATATCAACCCTTGATTCCAAAGACTATAGAATGCCTGGAAAAATCAAGGGTCGAAGATAGGAGGCGTCACATAACTCATGGAAGGTGGAAACAGATAGGTGAATGCCCTCCAACAACACATCTCTACCTAACAAATCCCAACAACACTAGGGAAAGTGCAGAAGCTGATAATCGATCCAAGGTGTATGCTAAAAATGGTCACAACTTGTCACCAAATTGATGCAGCAATTGCTGAGAGGCTTCCAAAAAAAGGTGTAGGAATGATAAATATCTCAGCACCCTAGTTAGGGTCAGATGAATCCTAGAAAACTGTGATCTATTTAGGTTAACCACAGACTCCATTCTGGAACCTCACGTTTCAAGAAGCAGGTCTAGTCTTTGAGAGTCTAAATATGGTTTCACCTGATGATGGTAGGCTAATGCATGTTGTTCTGATGAACATGGTAGATAAGGCATAGTTGTCCCTTTATGAAAGTGAGCAGTAAACTTCCCTGTATGAACCATAATATCAGGGGATGGAGGTAGAACTAAATAATTGACCTCAGACCTTTCCGCCATTAAGTAATGCATAGACCCAAAAGCAACTGGGGAAAGATCCAAAACATCATGCACTCGATGTATCAACTGAAGAAAAGGAGCCAGAGGCAGCTGATACAAATTTGACTCATGGAAAGCCGATAGAGCAAAGGAAGGTGCTGGAAAAAGTGAATCTAAATTCTCTTCATGATGTCCAGAAATGCCTGCAGATCCGCCCAGAGAAACATTACCAGACTGAATATATATCTCCATCTCACTACGGATAAGGTCACGGATAGCCTCAACCAAGAGTGCCCCCCCTCCTGATTTGTGAGCAACACTAGAAATCATAGGTGGGATAGGAGAGACTAGATTTTCCTCAATGTCGGACACATTAATCCTAGAATTCATGCCATATATCAGCTTGCCAAACAAAAAAAAATTTTTTTTTCTATTACAAAAATCAAAATAAGCAACATGAAGAACGTGCAAAGTATCTCTATTAGTCATACAACAGAAAAACCCATTAATGAACACTTTGTCGAGAAAAAGTGATAATATTATTGGAAGAAGATGCTTATATACAGTACCACAATAGAGTTTGCACTGACATAGGTGGAATGTGTCACAAAACAGATATCGCCAAGGTCAATTAATTGGGTATAAAATATAGTAGCAAGCAAGTAAAACTCAGACCAATGCTTATATGGGCAAAGGAGGAAACCCTAGCAATCGAGTAACAGGTGTTGTGTGAGAAGAGGTATGTAATTTTCGGAAATACCTTATATTGGTTTAGATTAATGGGTATGTTCTGTATACATGCAATGAAAAATCATTACTTGATATAGGTTAAGATAAACATATCTACTTTGATGGTCTAGAATAAAATATCATTTGATATCAGTTAAGCTCAGACATTTGTGTACACCTAGAATAAAATATCATCCTTTGATATAGATTAAGACAAACACACTTGTTGTGTACATCTAAAAGAAAATATCATTACTTGATATGGATTGACATGAACAGATCTGTTGTGTATAACTAATATAAAATATCATTATTCTATGTGAATGAAGCTCAATATACTTATCATGTATACTTAGAATAAAATATCATTACCAGACACGAGTTAAACTGAACAGATTTGTTGTGTATACCTTGAATAAAATATCATTATCTGATACGAGTGAACTCTTTCACTAATGGCTTGGTCTTTGTAACCACCATAAAAATTAAAAAATACGTATAAATTATGTTTTTTTCATTCTAGAATGACTATAAATTATAACAAGAAAACACAAATGTTTATTCTAAATAACTTAAATCTCATAACATTATACATCTCTATATATTTATTTTCATCATTTTATTGACCTTTCAGCCATGCCTGACTAACATTACAGAAGTCACAATAATGCAGCATACGTGCACTCATGTTACTGTATCCAAGAATATAAAACTGGCTCAACAATTGGCTTTTGTTCATGGTAGGTTAAATGTTCTTGTAAGAAAACAATTAATCCTGAATGATTCTTTCCAAAACAGTTATATGGTTATTCAGTTATTTCCTTAGTAAGTATAGATTATAGTGAGTAATCATGGATCCAGTAAATGTAACATAAATGCTTAATTTTTTAAGAAAATGTATGTGCACTTTCATACATAATATTTGTTGTCTCTTTTCTTACAGGATATTTTGGGTCAAATACAAAAACTCAAAAGAAAAAAAAACAAGAGTGTGATTTATCAAAATACAAATGTCAGAGATAGAAATAATGAAATAAAATTAAATTCACATGAGGGAAAGCTATCAGGAAGATTAAATTCCCTCAGGTAAAGTTGCATTTTCTCATTAATAGGTTTTTATTTAATCCATGTACTATGTTCACTTTCATTGATCATAACTAAAGGAATATGGATGGACCATGCATTGCCAGTAAGAAAAGCTAACTAAAAAGATGAAATTCTCAAGCAAAGTTAAATTCCTCGAGAATGCAGAAATGTAATATTTCAATCCCTGAATACATAATCACAATTATCCAAGCACAGTTTTAGCATTATACATAAATAAAGATTACTTCTAAATGTGCTTCACCTTGTCAATATGTTTCTAGCATTATCGAAAAGGAATTATCAATTAAAAAAGATGTAAATATATTTTATACCATACTTAAATAATGCAGCTTCAAGTGTATAGATAAAAAGTTATTTTATTTTTTGTGCCGTTTCCTCTTGTACAAGTGAGATATGATCACATAAACATCTCTTGCTGGAAAGAAGTGAAATATCATCAAAAATAAAATAGCTTTCTATCTAACCACTCAAAACTGTGTTAATGAAGTACAGTTGAGTCATGAGCACCTCTGAATAAAAATTCTTATCCCTTATACTAATAAAGAAGCTAACAGTTATTCAAAATAACATTCCTTTTGACAATCTAGAAATAAAACTTACTATCCAACATCTCTTCTTGTTCAAAATTTCAATTCTTTCTAAATGTCGCTGTCTTTCTTGAAAATACTTCACATCATCTTCTAGCCTACCAATTTTTTGTTTTTCATTTTCTAAATACTCTTTTGTATTTTTAAAAGATGTTTCTACTGTTCGAGTTTGTACTCGGAGCTCCTTTAGCTGGCAATGATATTCATGCATTACTGGTGGACCCACCTGTATCATAATTTATAAAAAATGTTAAGATATACTGCAAAATTGTGAAAAACAAAAACTTTCACAAAACAACTAGACATATAATCTAATTCAACTTTTTTGTACTTTTTTTTGTTTTTGTAGAAATATTCAAAAATGTTACCAAAAAATGCCATCATTGTAAAAGTACATCTTCTAATAGTTGAAATTTTCCTTACCTGAAAATGTATTTTAGATAGATACTTACCTCTCTGCACCACTAAGAACTATTACCTAGCACACACTACCATGAAATTTTCTGCACACATCACAAACTATACATGTCTAGATGCATTACACCAATCTATGACATAATCGTCATATTGCTCTATCTCTCCACCAACATGAGGGGTCAAACAATCTCCATGTGTGCATGATCATGGGATCTTTTTTGACAAAGCAAACGAAATGCACTGGAAGTAGGGAGGAAAGGTGGGACATGATACAGAGAGGTATCTATTTGGAATACATTTTCAGGTAAGAAAAATTTTAACTTCAGAAACATTACTTATTTCTCTGCACCACTAAGAGTTAGAATCTCACACTGAAGATGATGGAAGGGCTGGTGCTTAACAATAACAAGAAAGTAAAACTGTTCCTCATCAGAAAGAGGGAAGAGCCAGAAGCAAAGGCTGGAGGTGTAAAAACTGTTCAAAATCAGACATAGGCAAGTTAGGCTCACAGAAGGCAAAGAAACAAAAGGACAAGCGATCTGGGAAAGAATCAGGCAGAAGGGAACTAGCCACTTAATGCATAATAGTGGTAACATTATGTTTCAAACATATCAGCTGTGAACATGCCACACCAAAGTTCATTATGGCTCTATAAGATTGTGGTACATTAATATATCCACAATCATCATAGTACCTAACCACAGATTGAGATCTGATACCTATCACTCACCAAATGTTTGTTCTACTAAATGGGCTAAATGATAACTACTGAACATCAGCTTCATGAACATATGAGGTGCCTTTGGTCAACACTGTTGTAGTTGGAGAGATTGTCTAAAAGTGAATAACTGATCCTTGGCTCTTTTTTTGTGGAGGGAAGGGGTTACTTGCAAACATTGTTTGAAGTAGCACAAATAAGTTTAGTGGCTAAAAAAAGTGAAGTTGCAATCAGGTGGATGGAAAAAAGTAATCTATCACTAAATAAAAAAACAGTCAATAAGAATGACTAGAAATTCAATAAGCACAGGAAAAAACATGTCTGAACACAGGCAGTGCCAAGGATACAATAAACATATGATCATGTGTTAATGATCACAGGGATTATTGAGCATGGAGGATGTGCTGCCCTCCTACTAGTGGAAGGCTACAGCATTATGACAATTATGCCATAAGGTGGTGCAATACACATATACACATGTTGGAGTAGGAGGGCTTGTGGTGTACTCAGTAAATTTCATAAGTTTTTCACGAGGTAATAGCTCTTAGTGGTTCAGAGTTAAATATTGTTTTTGAATTATGGCTTTCATCTACTAATCTGTATAATGTTATTCTTAAGATATTATATACAAATGTATCTACTATTATTGAAATTAATTAATTAATAATACATTTATATCTTTCTCACTTCAATATTGTACGTATTTCAAATTTTTTTTGAGTGCTTACATATGTTTTGGTTTGTGGATATCATATATATTTTTATCTTTGTAATAAACTTTCAACACTCTCAGCACTATGATGTATAAATTAAGCTATATTTGTCTATGTTTATTATTAAATGTTCAAGTACTGTATATAAAGATGTATATATATATATATATATATATAATAATATTTTCAGTGTTATTTTAATAAATTGAAAAACAATCTTTATCAAGCTCTATGATAAAGAACAAAAATATCACCTTTATGAACTTCTATAATGACAAGTATAAATAGCTCTTTAATAAATCTTTATAATCACAAGTATCAATACCTCTTTAATAAATCTCTATAATTACAAGTATCAATACCTCTTTAATAAATCTCTTTAATTACAAGTATAAATACCTCTTTAATAAATCTCTATAATCACAAGTATAAATGCCTCTTTAATAAATCTCTATACAGGTATACATACCACTTTTATTAACGTTAAACACACATTGAACCTTTTGAATGTGTCTGCTTTAAACACATGCAGAATCTTTGCAAGCTGTACACTGCATATGATATAGCATGCTCGCAAAGAACTGCCAGAGGCAGACCATACCCTATACAGCAAACCAACAGTCAGTGGGTTAATTTTAAAGGTGAAATAAATTAATAAAACTGTATGTAAATAAAATAAAAATAAACTTTACATTGGAAAAAAAAGCTGCAATGGATTAACTGTTAAACTGAAGAAAGAGCAGGTATAAAGCTCACAAGCACATTTTGACACTATAAAACCGATGAAAATCTACTCTCACACTCTCTGTAGCTGGCCAATATATGATATATGTGTGTGTGTGTTTTTTTAACATGCCTGCCCCCCCCCCCATATAGCTGTACAATTCAAATTCCTGCACACTACTCTGAATATAGTCAATGCTTTATTTCTTTTATCTAAACAATTTCAACCTATTTGATCCATACACATATAAATATCTCTACATAAATATGTAAATATTTCAAACTACATATAGTCATATGGATTTCAAACAATTTGCAATACTCAGTCAAGTGGAGAATTTATAAATCATTGTTTTGCATTCAAGAGTTGAGCAATCTAGCACATGATGTTCAGCTATATTTCACAATATAAATATGAACTTAAAAATAATTTACTATATTGAAACATAACAAACATCCAATGCTTCTGACAGCAAGTGTTATACAGAAGTCCTACCTGCTATGTCTGTACTAGGTCAAGTCAATTTACTATATTGAAACATAACAAACATCCAATGCTTCTGACAGCAAGTGTTATACAGAAGTCCTACCTTCTATGTCTGTACTAGGTAAAGTCAATTTTAAACCATGTGACTTGGGCCTTAATGTCACAGCATAATAAAATATTAATTGGATGTGATGTAATAAGTTAACCAAAATGGAAGAGGGAGAGCTATAAAGGACTTCTTAAATATCAGCAGGTAACATTATCTGCCACCAAACAAGAACACGCAAGGAAGACACTGCTGTGGCATGCAGGCAAACCATGCATTTTCTACACTCATATTTCATGTATAATGTTTCTAAATTTTTTGCTTATTCTAGACATGTGCAGTTTTCATATAACACATGGTCAAGAAAGTCACTGATTTAGTTCTACTTTCCTTTTTCATTCCCTTGGTCTGCTTATGTATGGTATAGCTGTAAATCTGTACCCTGTGTAAAAAAGGTTGACAGCAGTGACTTCCAATGGTAGGTTAGGTGATGTCTCAATATTACAATCTCCACTATGCTTGAATGGGAATGACCAGTTACATGAGTAGAGCTACTTGCTTTGGGTATATCTGCAATTACTGAATCAACTAAATGTGAAATTTGGTACATCTGGAATATCATCTTGAATGAGATGTAAGTTTAGAAATGAGTCTTGAGGGAGTACAGTCAGCCTAATCAATTCACAATACCAGTAAAGGTTCTCAGACAAGAGAATATAGTTATAGCCAAAAAGGATGCAACTACACAAAGTGATACAATCTTTGCTAATTTTGAAAATTTTCTATAGAAAAAGGTCTAGAAAAAATTACATAAACTTTATTCTGTTACAGCTAGTGCAGTATTACAAAACAGAACTACATTTATGTTAACCCAAGGGATGTAATTTATAATTCAAATTTTTACATTACCCATGCTTTAATTTCTTAATTTTAAATAGAAACACTTAAATAAAGTCTCAATTGGCAATTCTCAAAGTTATTTCTCATTTCTAGACTTTTTCTCTTCTCTTACAAGTGCTTCAGATTGCTGAAACAATTTAAAATGTGCTATAGATACTGACAAGCTAGAACAAAAATTTTCAACCACTTACCTTCTTTGCTTTAACCCTTCCATTACGGGCTGGCTGGAATCCATCCAGCTCATAACCATGAAAGTATTCATGAGAATAATTATACTATGATTTTTGATAATGTTTGCATTTCTTAAAAAAAATTTGCAGGTTATTCGTAAATATTACAAGGTTTTCATAGACAAAATTTCAGGTTTTTATATTAAGATTTTTAATCAAAGATTTTCTCATAAACCTTTTTCTTTCAGAATGTTGACTATCTAATATGCAAAGCATTTTATTTTATTATTAAGATTAAAATACTTTAATGCATTAGAACATTTTCAAATTTTACATGCAACTTCACTCATGCACTCGTGTTATTGTATCCAATAATATATAACTGACCTTTAGTCTTTTAAAAGTGACCTGTCTTGGCTGTATTGTAGTGGACTAGTATTATGTAAAATCAGTCACTATTTCAATTATAATACA